AGGAATGTTAAGTTACGATAAGGGGTTCTGTTATCTGTCATGTGATGCCATACCAGTGTCAGGTTGGAAAATAAGCCACAATATGCTGGGTCAAAAAGACCTGTTTAACAAGATTTTATGGCTTATAAAGCATGACTTTCCCCACACCCCTTAGAAAGGAATTTGAGCAAGGAAAAAATGTCAGAGCTCAGTCTTCACAGTATGGGAGGAAAATGGATTTAAGAACAATTAGTGTAATAGCTTAGTGTTGTTACTTTGGCTTTCCCAGTGTCCACTCCTTTTTCAGATAGCTGTATATTCATTTCCCTTGGGGCCTGTTTTGTGTACAGTATTGGTGGGGCTGTCCATGAAGTTTCCCAGTCTGCTCTACTGAGCCAAGGGGTGGTCATGAGATCCAAGTTAGGCTAACCGAACTCTTTCTTGTAGGAGAACAGAATATATCACTGTAAAATATGCCTCCAGAAACAGAGTTGCACAGCAGTTAATTAGCATTCTTGCTGCTCTGCATCCTCACCAGCTTTGGTGATGTGTTTTTTTTTTTTTCAGTCATTCTAATAAGTGTGTAGCAGTATCTCATTGTTTTAATTTATAATTCTCTAATGATATATTGAAGGAATTAACAACCCACCAAAGTGGTATGAAAATGAGTTTAAATTGAAAATGTCTAAACACATAATGCTGCAGAAAGAAATATTATCTAAACTTAAGTAGAGCCTCCTGAAAATTCAGTTGCTATTGTTCCCCCTTCCAAGGGATTTTCCTGTTTGAAAGAAGACTGCCCTTTCGCATTGCAAAGTGTGAACTCTGCTGCCATAAATCCCCATGCAGGGAAATTTCCATCCAGGAAGTCAGGCTGCCCATCCCTATTACCCTCAAAAAGCCCTATAGAACCTTCCATACTTTTCCACAGAAGCCCTAAAAAAAGCCCCTTTTGTTAAGTTGGTATATAACCTTTACCTCTGACTATTCAGTGAGTTACTCCTTATGTACTACTCCTGTGTGCATATGTATAGAAACTTTGTCTTGTCTCCTGTTAATCTGTTTTTTTTTTCAGTCAATTCATGAGTATAATAGAGAAAATGGCCTGAAAAAGTGTAAAAATGTTTTCTGTCCTTCAAAACCGCCTCACCCTTTTTGAGGACTAAAACCTACATCCCTGTCTCAGGCCAGTGATCAGGAGGGGCGGAAGAGTGTCCTTTGTTCACTGCGCCACAGGGGATGGCTCACGGGAATTGCCTGGGCAGAGGTCGCAAGATTGTCTTAGCTGAAGATAGGGTTGATTAGCACCTTTAAAAGCTCTGTGTTTCTGCCCAGAAGTAGAACATTGGTACTTTGAGACGGGAGTCTGCCAACCTCCTCATTTGCTGGCAAATTAATAAACTTCTCTTTCCTTTTCCTCAAACCACTTGTCCTCATTCTTCTGATGCAGCCTCGGGGACAAGTGCCGAACTTTCTGTAACACAATCTCTTCTCTCACCACCATTCAAACCTAAAATGATAGAGGAAACATTTTCCTCCCAATAATACGATGCTGAGCATCTTTTCATATGCTTATTTGCCATCTGTGTATCTTCTTTGGTGAAGTGTCTGTTGTTAGGGTACAGAGAGTGATACCACAATGATGCTTTGGCATGTTGAGCACTTTTGAATTAAAGAAAATTGGAAGTTCTTAGAAGCTGCCTCAGAACCAAGGACTTTCCAGTTTCTTGTTCCTCCCCCCACCTCCAAGCTCAGCGAGTGGCTTTCTCTGGGAGTTACCTTATCTGACTGAGGAAAACTTCCAAGAAATGCAATTGTCTTAAGACCCTCCTCCCTAGGAATCTCATCAAATAGCCAGGAAAGATTAACCATCAGAAAAGAGAAGAGACTAAAAGTCCACACAATGCCCAGACAGACTTTTCATCTGTTCTTCTGAGGGCAGTTTCATGAGATTACCTAAGACACTTGATCTGCATAATAAGATCACCTTTGTTCACAGTGCAGTTCTACCCTTTGTCTTCCCATAATCTGTCACCCTTCCATTCAGTTTTCAAAGAGAATCATTTACAAACTACTGTCTGCTCTTTGGGCCCATTCCAATTCCCCTAAAAACCATTTACAACTCTAAAATTGCCTGCGCTTCCCCTGCCACTCTTTCCCCTCTTCATAAGGGCTTCAATCATCTGGCTTTCTTTATTATTATTGTTTAGAGACAGGGTATCGCTCTGTTGTTCAGGCTAGAGTGCAGTGGCATGATCACAGCTCACTGCAGCCTCAAACTCCTGGGCTCAAGGGATCCTCCTGCCTCAGCCTCTTGAGTAGTCGGGACTATGGGCATGTGCCATCATGCCTGGCTAATTTTGTAAAAAATATTTTTAGAGATGAGGTCTCACTATGTTGCCCAGGCTGGTCTCAAACTCCTGGGCTCAAGTGATCCTCCTGCCTCAGTCTCCTGAATTGCTGAGATTATAGGCATGAGCAACCATGCCCAGCCATCTAGCCTTTCTTTGAGTCTCATAATTTGTATGGCTTCCATGTTTACGCACGTTAATAAATTCGTATGCCTTTTATCCTGTTAATTTGTTTATTATCAGTTCATTTCAGCAGATTTGAACCTTCAGAGGAGTAGAGAAAATTCTCTTTGCTCCTATACTATTGAAATCTTTTACACATTTTCTAACTGGGTTGTTTGTTTTCTTATGGTTGAGTTTTTTAAGAGTTCTTCATATATTTTGGATAACAGTCCTTTATCGGATATATCTTTTCAAATATTTTCTCTGACTCTCCAGCTTGACTTATTCTCTTAACAGTGTCTGTTGCAGAGCAGAAGTTTTTAATTTTAATAAAGTCCAACTTATCAATTTTTTTCTTCCATGAATTATGCTTGTAGTGTATATCTAAAAAGTGATTACCGGGGCCAGACGCGGTGGCTCACGCCTGTAATCCTAGCACTCTGGGAGGCCGAGGCGGGTGGATCGCTCAAGTTCAGGAGTTTGAGACCAGCCTGAGTAAGAGCGAGATCCCGTCTCTACTAAAAAATAGAAAGAAATGATCTGGAGAACTAAAAATATATATATATATATATAGAAAAAATTAGCCAGGCATGGTGGCGCATGCCTGTAGTCCCAGCTACTTGGGAGGCTGAGGCAAAAGGATGTCTTGAGCCCAGGAGTCTGAGGTTGCTGTGAGCTAGGCTGACGCCACGGCACTCTAGTCCGGGCAACAGAGCAAGACTCTGTCTCAAAAAATAAAATAAAATAAAATAAATAAAATTACCAAACCCAAGTTTGCCTAAATTTTGCCTGTTATCTTCCAGTATTTTTATAGTTTTACATTTTATATTTAAGTCTATGGTCCATTTTGAATTAACTTTTGTGAAAGGTATAAAGTCCAGGTCTACGGAAAGGTGTAAAGTCTAGGTCTACGAAAATGTGTACAATCTAGATCTAGAAAAATATTTTTTTTTGGATGTGGATGTCCAGTTCTACTACTATTTGTTGAAAACACTATTTTTCCTCAATTGTATTGCCTTCGATCCTTTGTCAAAGATCAGTTCTCTATATTTGTGTGGGCCTATTTCTGGGCTTTCTATTCTGTTCCATTGACCTATTTGTCTATTTTTCACCAATACCACACACCTTAATTACTGTAGCTTTATAGTAAATCTTGAATTTGGGTAGTGTCAGTTCTCTGAATTTGTTCTTCCTTTTCAGCATTGTATCGACTAATCGGGATCTTTTACCTTTATATAAACTTCAGAATCAATCTGTGAATATCCACAAAATAATGTGCTGGGATAATAATTGGAATTATGCTTCGTCTGTAGATCAAGTGGAGAGGAACTAACATCTTAACAGATTGAATTTTCCTACCTGTGTACGTGGAATATCTAGGCATTTATTTAGTTCTTCTTCAATTTCTTTCATTAAAGTTTTATACTTTTCCTCATATCAATCTTTATATAATTTGTTAAATTTATACCTAAGTATTTCATTTTTCTTTGGTGCAATGTAAATGGCATTGTGTTTTTAATTTCAAATTCCATTGTTCATTGCGGGTATATAAGAAAGCAATTGACTTTTGTATAATATATTAATCTGGTATTCTGCAACCTTGCTATAAGCAGACATCATGTTTATCCTGTAGCTATTTTGAGCCATTAAAAGCATGGGGCAAGCGTGTTGTACTATTTTATCTATGTTCAAGGAAGATTAAACTGAAAATAATATGTAGAATGGATTGGAAAGAAAAGAAATTAGAGGTAGGGACTCCATGTGGAAGGCTTTTATGTGAGCCCTCCATGAGACAATGAGGTTCTGACTAAGAGTATTACAGCACCAAAGGAAAGGTAAGAACCGATTCAGGAGGCAAATACCCTAATTTGCCCTTCTCCTTCATGCTTATGAGTCTTTTCATATGCAGTTCCCTCTTTGGGAGGCCCTCACAATTCCCTTCACTCAACTTTTAATTATTCCTCAAAATTCAGTTCAGGTGTTGTGGCCTCCAATAATCCTTTCCCTTTACTATTTCCCCACGGTCTCCTGCAGTGTTTTCCATCACACAGTAAGTGCTATTTCTATTTATTAATATAGAATGTACTTGTCTATTTACTTATTTGACCGTCTCTTGTCTCTTTCATTAGATCATGAGCTCCTGAATTTGTGTAGTTCACTACCTGGCCCAATAGACATACACATAAATGCATAATTCATTCCCATCTGTTGTTGAAACTCACAACATTACCAAGTATTTGGTAGATCTATTATAACAGATTTACGTGGTGTATTCTCTCTTAAGGAACTGAAATCACAGAGCTTCAAAAAAACCGAAGCCTCAGATCAGGAAGGAAGCACACACCCCATATGAGGAAGGGATAAGTTCCTCAAAACTCTGAGTTTTGAGTCATCCTGTTTCTTTAAGTGCACTTACTCTTCCTGTGTATGCAATGATAATAATACTGTTCTAAAGAGCAGCTTTAAAAGTCTAAGAGTCTAATCCATACTCTGCACAAGAAGTTCGTCTGCCAAGTCCTAGGGTTCTCTTTCCTAGAGGTCGGGATACTTCTTCCCCTGCCCTACACAGGCAGCATCGACCGACTTGGAGGAAAAAAAGCACACAAAAGCCTCTGAGCCTGAAACTAACCACAGCCTCTGTTCTCAGTGGGAGCCCCAACACTGACACCAGGTAAGGACCCTCAGGGCTGGGGTGAATAGGGCAGTGAAGATGGCTGGGAGGTAGTGATCAAATAGATAGAGCTTAAATATTTGAGGAGAGAAGAGGGAAAAACCAGGTTTCTGACACGAGGGTCATCAAATGCATGAGTACAGATCACAGAGAATGGGATCTGCCAATCGAAGAAAAGTGTTGCTGTTGCTTGCCTTGTATTTCTTGTCACTGGGATTCAGCTTCTTCATAGAACCTTCACAGAACCAGGTTCTCACTTAGACTCTATGTGAGAAAGAAGATTTTTTAAAAAGGGCTGTGAAATCTTAAAAGGCAGAATAAAAATCTAAATAGTTATGATTAATAATTTTGCTCTTATTGTTTCTTCTACTATAATTCTCTTCCCTCTTTCTACACAGAAAAGATGGTGCTGCGTTTTCCCCTCCTCCTATTGCTGATGGAACTGTGGGGACCAGTATGTCCAATTTGCGTTCAGCCTAAGCATCTCACCAAGGCTCATTGGTTTGAAATTCAGCATCTACAGCCAAATCCTCTCCAATGCAACAGGGCAATGAGTGGCGTCAATAATTATACCCACCACTGTAAGCCTCAAAATACCTTTCTGCACGACTCTTTCCAGAACGTGGCTGCTGTCTGTAATTTGCTCAACATTGTCTGCAAAAATGGTCGGAACAACTGCCACCAGAGCTCCAAGCCTGTCAACATGACTGACTGCAGACTCACTTCAGGAAGGTATCCTCAGTGCCGCTACAGGGACGCTGTCCAATACAAACTCTTCATTGTTGCCTGTGACCCCCCGCAGAAGAGCGACCCTCCCTATCATTTGGTTCCCGTACACTTAGATAGTATTGTCTAAGGTCTCCATTACTTTTTCTCTTATTTGACACAAGTTGTCTTGCAATTTCTTCTGCTTTTTCTTTTGTTAATTTCCTTATTCCCACAGAAGAAAGAAGGTAGGTATTGGGAGAATGAGAATGAGAATGCCTAGGATACCAGACGAGAGTTGGGGCAAAAAGAAATAGGATTCTTTTCTGCTTTGAGTTCTGTGTGTTTTGAGGGAAGGCAATGGGGAAGAGGACAAAGGAGGGTTCAGACCTCCAGATTTCTAACTTTGCAACTTTTGCCAAGCTTTATTGCACTGTGTTCACAGTAATAAAACCACTTCCTGCTGCATTCTAATGAATATGAGTGTGTTTGAGATCCCCTTTTAAATTACTGCCTACCAATTTTCAAAGAACTATTTTGGCCTTAGGTCCCTACAAGGCCTCCCTGGGACCTCTGCCATTTCCACGGATTTGGAACATCCCTTCAAACTCTGCTCATGACTTTATATATTTCCCTGAAAACCATAGTCTTTGTTTACTTGGAGGTAGTACTGATATCTCATAGATAGTTGATGATACTTTCACACATAGATTCTAATATTGGCAACTGAGAGGTCCTAGATCTTTCATACTTGATTCTGTTTTTAATCAGATAATGTTTTAAACATAAGGTAATAGTAGTAGGGATAATAATCCACTGAGACTTAAGAGTTAATCCTCCCATTATCTATTGGATATTTTATGAATATTTAATGAACAGTTAAATGAATTTCTGGGGGCGGGACCTGGGCACTACTGGCTGTTTTGTTTGTTTATTTTGAGACCGTGTCTCACTCTATTGCCCAGGATGGAGTGCAGTTACATCATAATAGCTCACTGCAATCTCCATCTCCTGGGCTCAAGCAATCCTTCTGCCTCAGCCTCCTGAGTAGCTGGGACTACAGGTGCATGTCACCATGCCTGGATAACACTGGATGTTTTTTAAAGATCCCCATGTAATTGTAACGGGCAGCAAAGATTGGGAAACATTGTCAATCCAGGGGCAGGCAAACTACAGCTGCGGACCATCTGGCCTGCCCACAGACCTTTTGTACTACCTGGAGCACTATGGTTTTTACTATTTTAAGAGGAGAAGAAGAAGAGGAAGAGGAGGGGGAGGAGGAAGAGGAAGAGGAAAAAGAAGAAGTGAGAGAGACCCTTTGTGTCCCACAAAAGTAAAATACACACTGTCTGGCTCTTTACAGAAATATTTTGCTGACTCCTGGTCTGCTAGACTAGGCAGTAGATCTTGTCCTCTGGCTGTGGCTGACAGGTGGCTGGAATTCAGTAGGAGGGAAAGCACCCATCGGGCTGAGAATTTTGAACTGGGGTTTGGGGAAAGTAATGGAATCAGGACTGGTAAAATGTCTGGCCTTTCTGTGTCTCTCATTAATGTTCCTTTTTGTGCACTGTTTCAGTCTTTTTCTGTGGTATATTCATTTCCTCTGCTTTTCTGTTTCACATGGTAAGTAGAAGGTCAGCCCTTTCCATCTTCTTTTCTAATTTCCTCTTAAATATAATTTACTGGTGAAGGGATTTGGATTGACTACCTGGATCAGACAGTCATGACCACTCAGAGTTACACTGCACAAAATAGCTTCCGGAGCCTTTATTGGGGACCATGCAGAAGAAAGAGTCAGAGAGAATTGCCCTTAGGACTGGGCAAGTGGGTCTCTGACCCAGCCTACTCCTCAGGGGCCCCCTTGCACCTTGGAATAGCTGTCTCAACATTTTCTAAGTCTCCCTGCAGTCAGCCCAGGCTGGCAGTGCCTGGCCTGAGACCCACAGAGGCTCTCATCCTGTTTCTCCCACCTTCTACCCTCCTTCCCAGCACATGAAGCCCTGAAGAGCTCCAGGATTCATGTCTGTAATGTTATCCTGGGGCCAGGCCTGGTTCCAGGAGGGTTACCCGGGCTAGAGATGTCATGGTTCCCATCTGGTCTATGATATTTTTGTTACAGCAGCCTGAACTTACTAAAACATCTACAAAAACCCTACAGCTAACATCATATTCAACTTTTTGTCCCTTACCACCTCCCTAAGGAGCTGTCTTAGTCGATTTAGTGCTGCTATAACAGAATACCACAGACTGAATAATTAATAATGAACAGAAATTTATTGGCTTGTGGGTCTGGATGCTGGAAATTCCAATATCAAAGTGCTGGCATCTGAAAAGGGCCTTCTTGCTGTGTCATCACATGGCAGAAAGGCAAAAAGAGGGCAAGAGAGACAAAAGATGACCAAACTTAACCTTTTATAAGGAACCCGTTCCTATAATAACAGCATTAATCCATTCATGACGACAGAGCTTTCATGGCTTAATCAACTCTTAAAGGTCCCATCTCTTAATACTGTTACAATGACAATTAAATTTCAATATGAGTTTGGGAGGGAACAAATATTCAAACCATAGCAGGAGGCTTTTCAATATTTTTTTCCCTAACTACCCACCAACCCCATGAAATTAAATACTAAGGAATAAGTTTTGCTGAGTAGGCTTGAGTTTGAAGAACCACAAACCATTATAATATCTCAGATTTTTGGGACATGTGGTGGTTCATGCCTATAATCCTAGTACTTTGGGAGGCTGAGACAGGAGGATTGCTTGAGGCCAGGAGTTTGAGACCAGCCTGGACAACATAGTGAGACCCCATCTCTCCAAAAATTAAAAAAAATATGGCCAAGCATGGTGGCACATGCCTGTAGTCCCAGCTACTCAGGAGGCTGAGGGTAGAAGATTGCTTGAGTCCACAAGCCTGAGGCTGCTATGATTGCACAAGTGAGCTATGATTGCATCACCATACTCCAGCTTGGGTGACAGAGAAAGACTCTGTCTCAAAAAAAAAAAAAAAAAACTAAACTAATTTTTGCCCGTTTAGAGGTACTGTCACTTCCATGGAGCAAGTCTGTACTAAATCATCTTCAAATCTCACCTTCAAGGAGATTTCCTTCCTACTACATATCCTCTTTGCACAATAGTCAACTACTAGGATTTCTAAATGCCTGGGCCTAATGATTAATGATGCTATTTGAAAGAGAATTTGTCTTAAAAATATGTCAATTACATTTTACAATTAAGACCAATTAATTCTCCACAAAGCTACTGCCAGTCATATAAAAGCCTAGGATATACAATTGTGTACAGTACATAATACTTGATAATAAATGACTCTGTTACTGGTTTGTGTATTTACTATACTACAGTTCTTACCATTATTTTAGAGTGTATTTCATATATATATATTTCATATATATAAAAATATATGAAATATATATATTATCTATAAAATACATAATTTCATATATATATATATTAAAAAGTTAACGAAACACAGCCTTAGGCAGGTCCTTCAGGAGGTATTCCAGAAGAAGTCATTGTTATCAGAGGAAATGACAGCTCCATGTGTTGTTGCCCCTGAAGACCTTCCAGTGGGACAAGATGTGGAGGTGGGAGACAGTGATATTGATGATTCTGACCGTGTATGGGCCTAGGCTAATGTGTGTGTTTGTGCCTTAGATTTTTTTTTAATAGAGACCGGGTCTTACTCCGTCACCTAGGCTAGAATGCAGCGGCTCAAACTCCTGGGCTCACGTAATCCTTCTGCCTCAGCGTCCCAAGTAGCTGGTACTACAGGCGTGTGCCACCATGCCCGACTAACTTTTTAATTTTTTTTTGTAGAGATAGGATCTCACTATGTTGCCAAGGTGGGTCTTAAACTCCTGGCCTCAAGAGATCTTCCCACCTGAGTTTTCCGAAGCACTGGGCATGAGCAACCACACCCAGCCTGTATCTTAGTTTTTAACAAAAAAGTTTAAAAAGGAAAATAAAATAAAAACTATTAAAAACAGAAAAAAGCTGGTGGAATAAGGATACACAGAAAGAAAATATTTTTATATAGCTATACAATGTGTATGTGTTTTAAGCTAAGTGTTATTACAAAAGAGTCAAACAGTTTTGTTTTGTTTTTTGTTTTTTTTTCTTGAGACAGAGTCTCACTCTGTTGCCTGGGCCAGATTGCTGTGGTGTCAGCCTAGCTCACAGCAATCTCAAACTCCTGGGCTCAAGTGATCCTCCTGCCTCAGCCTCCCAAGTAGCTGGGACTACAGGCATGAACCACCATGCCTGGCTAATTTTTTTATGTATATATTTTTAGCTGTCCAATTAATTTCTTTCTATTTTTGGTAGAGACGGGGTCTCGCTCTTGCTCAGGCTGGTCTCAAACTCCTGAGCTCAAATGATCAGTCCGCCTCGGCCTCCCAGAGTACTAGGATTACAGGCGTGAGACACTATGCCCAGCCAAACAGTTTAAAAAAAGATTAAAAGTTTAGGAAGTAAAAAAGATACAATAAGCTAAGGTTAATTTACTATTGAAGAAAGAATATTTAAAAAATAAGTTTAGCGTAGCCTAAGTGTACAGTTTTTATAAAGGCTATGGTAGGGTACAGTAATGTCTTAGGTCTTCATAGTCACTCATCACTCACTCACTGACTCTAGTCCTTCAAGCTTCATTTCATGGTAAATATCCTATAAACATGTACCTTTTTCTTTCTTTCTTTTTTCTTTTTGTTTGTTTGTTTGGAGATAGGGTCTTGATATGATGCCCAGGCTGGTCTTGAGGTGGGATTTTCCTGCCTCAGCCTCCTAAGTAGCTAGGAATACAGGCACATGCCAGTGCACATGGCTCCATTTTTTACCTTTTATACCATATTTTTACTGTATCTTTTCTATGTTTAGGTATGTTGAGGTACACAAATACTTACCATTACAATACAGTTGCCTACAGTATTTAGTACAGTAACATGCCATACAGGTTTGTAGCCTAGGAGCAATAGGCTACACCATATAGCCTAGGTGCCTAGGTGTGTAGTAGGCTATCCCATCCAGGTTTGTGTAAGTGCACTCTATGTTGTTCCCAAAATGATGACACATTGTATCCCTGTCGTTAAGTGACACAGGACTGTACTTGGCCTATACTCTGATTTTATACTCACGCTTTTGAGTCTGTTCTTGAAATCAAGCTTGGGCCTCTCCACAGTCTCTGCGTGATCTCCTTTGCCATCTAGATCTCTAGTTATGCCCTCTCTTGGGCTGACAGAATTCACACTCCCCTGAGCTCTGTTCTAATGTCCCTAGCCCCTCTCACATATGTGGCCCTCAGGAGAACTAACATTGTATGTTGGTACCTTGCATTACAAACAGAAAACTGCAGCGATGCACTGTCAATTTTGCTCTCTTTAATTACAATCTTGATTGGATGCATGCAAGTGATAGAGTGGCATGTATGACTCTTGATTCTAAGGGTAATAGCTTTTATTATGTATCACACATTGTCCTACATATTTTATATATATGACCTCAACTAATCCTCAACAAGTCCCTGAAGTCGGTACCATGATTATCAGTATTTTTTATATCAGGAAGCCGATGTTAAGAAAATTAAGTTCTCTGCCTGAAGTCACACTACTCATAAGTGGCAGGTGTAGAGTGTGAACCAAGTCTGCTTCACACCAGAGCCAAAGCTCTCGATCACTATGCCACAGTGCCTTTGTAACAGCGGCTCACTTTCTCCGAGTGTCCACCAAATGCTGAACACTGAGCTTTACCTGAATGTCATATTCACCATGGGACTTTTAGTTAAGTGCTGTGATTATTACCACTTTACAGAAGGACAACAGACACTTGGAGCTGTTGCCCTGTCTCAAGGTTTTGAGTCCAGGCTAGACCCATAAAGAATAACTCAATCTTTACAGCTGTTGAGCTTCCTGTACCCTCTGTACTCATTCCTTCCTTCCTTCACAAATGCTAGATAAATGTTCCTTTGACTTAAGAATTTGTATGTTCGGACATTCCCTGGATTTAAAAAGGGCAGATGTTTTTGGTAGAACAATATGTTACTCTTTCTATGTTCATTAATAATTCACTGAGAATTTCTGCATTGAATCATATCCCAAGAGTGTAACTGAGAACATGAACACATCAGAGCTCAGCTGATGGTGGGGGAGAAGTCACAGAGGAAGAGTGAGGACTGTTGGACACTGTATCTAGCCGGGGCCGCGCAACTCGGCCAAGCACACGCTAAAGTTGCCTTACTTCACATCTTGCCAAAGGCTTTCATGCCTTTCCTTTTTTTTTTTTTTTTTTCCCTACAGCAACCTCAGAAGGGAGGCAGGGCCAGTTTCCTTAGACCTGTCTACAGTTTCCAAAGTCCCCCACTCTGTCCAGCTGTCCCAGGGAGTGGCAGCTGCCCATTTGTCCACACAGACACTCCTCTTCACCCCAGAACCTCCCCGTCCCCATCACTGTGCATCTAATTTGGATCAGCCCTCCATAGGGATGTGCCCGTGCAGCAACAGACTCAGAATTCTGCCAAAATCTGCTCTCAGCCTCAGCCTTCGAAAGGCCAAAAAGCTTACTGAGCCAGAGGGAGACATAGCTGCTGGTTCATAAGTATAGACCAGCCTTTGCAGGACCACCAGAGGCAAAGACGGCAGCCCTGCTATTAGAGAAGCCATTTCCCCTCTCCTCCTCCCTTTCCTCCCATCAATTACACGCTCCTACCCCCAGTTCCAGAAGGTACTATTAGAGACCTTATCTCTCCTCAGGGTGCAACTGCTATATGCCTGGGAACCGCAGAAATAAGCTTGCTATCAGTCACATTTCAGTCAGCCCTAACATAGCCATTGACAGTGGGAATGTAAGGAACCCTTGAATTAATCTGGGTCTGAAGGTTTCCGCTTTTTAAATTTAGCTTCTTTATTTTTTGAGACAGGGTCTCACTCTGTTGCCAGGACTAGAGTGCAGTGGGGCAAACATAGCTCACTGCAACCTCAAACTCCTGGGCCCAGCCTCCCAAGTAGCTTGGACTACAGGTGCATGCCACTGCACTGGCTAATTTTTCTATTTTTGTAGAGAAAAGATCTTGCTATTTTGCTCAGGCTGGTCTTGAACTCCTGGCCTCAAGCAGTCCTCCCACCTTGGTCTCCCAAAGTGCTAGGACTACAGGTGTGAGTCACCATGCCAGGCATAATTTCCCTCCCCCACATCCTCCCCGACTAAGCAGATCTTCACTTACAGCTTTATTCCCCAGGTAGGGGTCCCCAGGGTCCTGCTGCAGGGAAGGTAGGGGCAGCGGGGTGGGGAGCCAGAAGCCAGACCTGGTGACTGTGCATATAGGGATGCAGCAAAACTCCAAGTGACTATCCTTAAAAACTCCACTAAAGTTCCACCGAAGTGTTTTCTTAGGACTAGAAAGAGGGAAAATGAGAAGCTTTGGGGCTGGGAAAAAGGGTGAGATAAACCTAAGGAAAAAATTGATTAAAGGAGACATATTTAGAAACTCAAAGTTTCCTTTTTTTCTCCTTCATTCTCACTTCTAGGAAGGAGTGAGATCCCCATTGCCACAGGAATGTGGGGATGGTCCCTCCTCACCTGCAGGTCTTCCTCATGCGGAGCCCCCAGGCCCCAGATTTTCACTCTACATAAGAAAATCACGGCCACTCTCAACACCTATAAATGCAGTACATAAAGACAATGGAACAACTGGTCACACCGGTCAGGTTCAAGGCCTTTCTCTGGTTCTATGACCTTGTCTAGAGCCAGATGCAACCATAAACTGGGATTAAATGTAATGCTAAAGTGATGACAGCAGCCGAGTCTAGACTTTCAATGGCTCTCAGGAAGGGTTGCCAAGAACTGAGCCGACTCGCAGGACAAGGACACTGAGAACCTGTGAGAGGGCACCAGCGAGCCCTGGGAGAGCCACCAGTCCACGGCACTTGGTGACGGAGAGGGATTTCCTTCCTGAGTTAGACTCCAATGGCAGAAAGAACAATGACTGGGAGCCAAGAGACCTGGATTCTAGTCCCAGCTGTGCCACAGCTGTGCCACTAACTAGCAGCAGGCCATGTGCAAGTCACTTGAAAGGTGGTGGTTACATTAGGTCAGAGATGGCATATGTGTGGCACATACACCCTTCCCCCTCTCATGCCTTCAGGAGAGGCTATTGTTCACCGTATCACTGTGCAGAATTTTTTTCTACAGCATTCTCGGCAGGCACTTCTGATTAGAGTTGGTACACAGACTGAAATCTACTTGCTGCCTTTCAATACCATGATCTCTATAGTCACTTCTAGCTCTAAAACTTAAGGTTCTGACTTTCCAAGTAAGAGGTGCCCATTTTGCTGACTTAGTAATAGCTCACTCAAAAAACAGGAAAATGGAAATTTAGGATCATAATTTCATAGACTCCTCCTCCCCACCCTGAGACTAAGTAGTGTCTTTCTGAGGTCACGCTTGCCTCCCTGCTATGCCAGAGAATTACAGTATTTGAACTTACCCTCTGTCGGTTCACCCCAAATGGCAGTGTCCCAGGCTGTAGTTCCCTTTTGTCTAAAACAGCCCATACTTAACAGCTTTATACTTGGCAGCAAGGAATCTACAAGGAAAGAAATTTTCTCAAGCCACAAACATCCGAGTCAGAAAGGAAGGCATTTTAATTATTCCATTCACTGCTCACCAATGCTAATCAGATCTACAGTTCTGACCCCTTGCTGGAAGCAAATAAAGAAATACCAATAGTAATTGGATGGGACAGCTTCAGGAACTAGGTGTTTGCAACTGTTTTATTGAAAGAAGCAATGAAAGGGTTAACATGAAGCCCACTTCACAACCCTCTCCTCACCCCCAAAAGCATGCAGAAACCAGACTCAGGAAAGGGAAGCATGTGTGTGTTGAATAGGAGGAGAACTGGAGTTATTTCTTTCAGGGCAAGGAAGGAATTGGGGAGAGGCAGGTGTCGAAATGATGAGGTGGGGGTGCATCTGGCTGCTCTGACCTTAGGTGGAGTCCTCCACAGAAGCATCGAAGTGGACTGGCACATATGGGTCCCCCTCACAAGCCACAATGATGTGTCTCTCCTTCTCGCTGGTCTTGTATGTACAGTCGGGGTACTTGGCGCTGTCTGTCAGGCGGCACTCTGTGATGTGCATGTTAGAGTTGCTCTGATAGCAGTTGGTCTGCCCATTCTTGCAGGTGACATTTTCCTGGAAGCAGACAGCCTCGACATCTTCCAGGGGTTCGTGCACAAACGTGTTCACCCGCTTGCACGATTCGCTTGTCATATTCCGGCGCTTCATCATTTGGTCGCAGTAGGCGGAGTTGCCGCTGGAGGAACCGTCTGAGTCCATGTGCTGCCGCTGGAACTTCATGGCCGAGGATTCCTTGCCCACGGAAGGCTGGACCCACCCCAGCACCAGCAGCACCAGAACTAGCAGTGGGAACAGGACCAGGGACTTCTCCAGAGCCATGGCAGCCTCACTTTCCTGGAAAAGCCTAACTGGGAAAGGGAGAAAGAAGAAAAATCATCCCCTTAGAAAGAAAAATCCAGCTCCCACCTGTGGCTTCCCTGGTTTACAGTCTCCCTTTCAGGTCAGCCAGAAAGATGGCCCTCTTCCTGAGATTTTTCACGTGAAGAGACACTCACATATACCCTTCTCCAAGAGCGTTTTACTCCCACTAGCAAGAGAGACCCCCTTCCCCTCTAGATGGTGACCTACAAAGTCACCTAAAATCCTGGCAGTACTGTCTTTGAATACTGGAGTTCCTTAGGTCTAAAATACATTTGTACCCAGTGCCCAAATGGCCCATCAGAAGATTATTTTGAATAAACCATGAGCCAAATTGTATCCCTGACATCTAGGACCATGTCTGACAGGCCTGATTGTCTTGCAACATAAGGGATACTCAGTCCAGTGCCTGACACTGGCATCATAAAAGATTCCATTGTATTCCAAAGAGAGACGACAGCCTGCTCCAACGTGGGGGCTCCTTCTGCAGCCCCACAGATTCTCTGCAGCCTGCATGTCCCATCCCCGACCACTCTGCCCTCAGCTGATGTTTGCCTGGCCCAAGTTTTTCTAGCACGAGTGTCAGACTAAGCTTTCTTGGTGCTAGCAGACTATCCCTGGCTCCCTCCAGTCCAACCCTCCAGCAGAAGCAGCTCCTGAGACCACCTCTTAGGCTGCTTACCTGAGTCTCCAGCTTGGTGTCCCAAAGAGAGAGAAGGTCAGTTTCTGCGATCACTCAGTCCCTGGGGTGTGGACCTTATACAGATTACGAAGGGGTTTGGCTTCCAAGGGGATAAAGTGGGAGGAGCATCTTGGGTCAGTCCAAATATAAACAATGACATCGTAAGGGAGAAGTGGGGAATCACCCAGCCCACCTCCTCTTCAGGGACACTGGAGAAAGAGTGAGTCTTTATCTATAGGACTCTTTCTCACTATGTGAACCACATCTGCAGGTTCACAAGAAGCAACAGAGAAAGCCACTGAAGTATTGGCACCCAAACCTGGCACACCTGGACAAAGTCCTGGTTACCTCTTTGCACCATTTTCACCAAATAGACTTGAAGGTTAACAAAGGAGACACAAGGTGATCATGGGAGAGGGAGGCCCTCTCTCCCCAGCACTCTTGGAACAGCTTTGGCCAGAATTCCAAATCTCACAGCAGTACCTCTCCAGGGGGTGCCCCCAGCTGGAAGGCTTCCCAGATCTGAAAAAAGGGGGAGACTACCTGAACAGGGAGGAGGAGAAGGAGGCCTCCAGGGCGAACTCAGCCAGCTCTGGCCACTTCCCGCCCACCCTCCACCCTTGCTCTGAGGGCGCTGAGGGTGCAGGGCAGTTCTTATCTACAGGAACCACTGATCCTGTAGGTCAGAGTTGAGCAGAGGAACTAAAGATAAACCAAAATCCCGAATCCCACTGGAGAAAAAATAGAAAGAACATCATATTTTTTAGCAGCAGAATGCCCTCCTAGAAAGAGACCTATTTTTGCTAGGGTGACAATTTTGATACCTCAGGAGTAAGAATTATCAAAATATCCCTCCGTGCTCTAGATTCAGACAGTTTCAGTTCAAATTTTGATTCAACACCTTAAGAGCTGAGCAAGTTATAGAACTTCATTTCCCTGTTCCTAAGTTTTCTCATCTCTAAAATGGGAATAATAATATGTAGTTCTTAGATTTGTTGTTAGGTTGAAATAAGGTAAGATGTGCAGAGGGCATAGAGGAGTGGCAGGCATAAAGAAAGCTTCTTCATGTGTCAGCTCTTGAGATAGTTCCCCCAGGGTAGAGTTGAGACCCCTCAAGGAGTATCTTCCAACAACACTGTGTGATCTTTGCTTTTTGAAGTGGGTGAAGTCAAGTGACTGCCAGGCTTTTGTTTTGCTAAAAAGCTGAGCTGAAAATTACTTGATATTTGAAGTCCAGGGGAGAAAAGAAAGGGGAAGATGAGAATAAAGAGGGAATTTGGTAGGAAGAACAAAATTCTTTAAAGGGACTTTTAATATTGTTTTGCCATGCGGAGTTCAAATAAAATCTACATTACTTGCTAATGTGTGTGACTTGGATGTGGACGTAGGGGTGAGGAAGACATGACATGGCATGAGTTTTCAGTTTCATGTTTTCTTAATTCTGTGGCGCTCAGAAAATGGTACCCCAAAATGAAGGCCTCACAAGTAACTCAGAGGCAAGTTTCTCTTTGACTTTCTCCTGCCCTTCTGTCGCTGGCCTTTCATTCTTCCCTGAGGCTAGCCATTAAAAACTAGAATCCTTCTTTCCCAAGGTAAGTCATAGAAACCAGAGCCCCTTTTCTCCAAAGCCAGCCACAAAATTTTGAACTAAAATAAAACTTTAAGCCTCCCTGGCTGACTGAACAGACCCCCTCTTGACCACAGGGACCCCAGAAATACCCTAAAGCTGAATTGAGGACCATCAGAAGGGAGATCAGACTTGTCCTGTCCTGTCCTGTCCCCTCTCCCTTCTTGCAGATATCTTTTGTATTATAACTCATTAATAGGCCAAAAGCTATGCAACGCAAAGCTTAAATCATACCTGTGTCAACAGAAAAGAAGACAAATTCTGTAAAATAATTTAAGGAGGTTTATTGTGAGCCAAATTTGAGGACCATGGCCTGGAGCCACACCCAAGAAGCCTTGAGCAAGTGGATTCGTTGTGGCTGGGTTACAGTTTGGTTTTATACATTTTGGGGAGACAGGAATTACAGGTAAAGTCATAAATCAATACATGGAAGGCATACATTGGTTTGGCCCAAAAAGGTAGGTCATCTCAAAACAGGGGGTTACAAGTCATAGGTAGTTTAGGGATTCTTTAGTTGACAATTGGCTGAAAGAGAAAGACTAGGAATCAATGGAAAGGAATGCTTGAGTTTAGAGATAAGGGTCTTTTATTTTTTATGTGATGCTATACTGGAATCAGGTTGGGAAGTAAACCACATCATAAAAACCTGTTTACTGAGATTTTATTATTTGCAGGCATGACTCCTCAGACCCCCTTAGAAAGGAAATTTTGGACAAAGAAAAAGATCACGGTTCAGTCCTCACCTGCAGGTCATCAATTTCCTGAACAGATCACTTGAGTCTGGGTATATGTCCAGTGGCTTCTCTCTGATTAACAGAGTTCTTTATCTTAACTTAAAACATTCCAAACCTGTAGAGAAAGTTTCGTTTCTTTAACCAAGCACAAATCAAAGAATCTTTAGACCCACCTATAACCTGTAATCCTCTGTTTCAAGGTGTTCTGCCTTTTCGGACCAAACCAAGGTACACCTTCCATGTATTGACTTATGACTTCACGTGTAATTCCTATGTTTCTGAAATGAATAAAACCAAACTGTAACGCAACTGTGGTGAGACCACTTGTTAAAGGCTTATTGGGCGTGGCTCTCCAGGCCATGGTTGCACATATTCGGCTCAGAATAAACCTCTTTAAATTATTTTACAGAGCTTGGGTTCTTTTCTGTTGACAAAACCTAAAAATATTACTCTAATTACTCCCCAACTCCTGCCATTTTGTGTAAAAACTGGCCATAACAAAATTATCTGACCTACCTTGTTTGATTATGAGTCAAAAGACCTCCGCTCCAGAGAGGGCCCTGCCCCTTTCCCAGAAGGAAAGAATGCTGCTCACAGAGGCGAAGAAGAATCTAGACAGACAGGCCTTGATGGGTTGCCCCACTCAGTCTCTTAGCATCAGATCATACCCTTCTGTGCAATCATATTTCTACATAGCTGTCTATAATGTGTTGAACTGAAGCATAAAAAGGAATAATTTCCCCTGTATCTTTAGGTTTTTATTCTAAAGCCTTCCATTTCAGGTAAACTATGATCAAATAAATCTGTATGCCTTTTCTCCTATTAATATGCTTTTTGTCAGTTGATTTTCAGTGCACCTTCAGAGGGAAAAGGGGAAGTTTTCCCTTGGTCCCTATGGTTTTCTCATTCTCCCAGCCCCCACTCCGGTTTTCTTTGTCTCAGAGTCCTTAGATAGTACTTATATTCTCTTGAGTAGTCAGTTATATTTTGTTCATTCATTCATTAAACTGTGAGGTACAGAAATAAATAGGCACAGGGCTTACCTGAAAGGTGCCTGGTGGGATGGTTGGATTAGTTAGGTGGACCCCACCAACGCACTGGGCATAGCTGCACAAAAGTGGCTACTTTTTTTTGGCACATTCCCAGTGCCAGAAGAATTTCAGGGAGTTGGTCCAGCAAGATGATTTCAGAACCACAGTTCAGATATGAACAGGTCTTCTGTAACTCAAATAGGTTCTCAACAGCCTTCTTCCCTAGGCATCCCTAAACTACAAGAAGCCATTTTGTCTCTCCGCACATGGCAAGCTGGGCAAGCCCTTGGAGTTTTAGTTCCACTTCATGGGGAACAATCAGAAGCCCTTACTACAAGCCTTATCCTCGACAGGGTTGCAAAGGCACAGCCACCTCGTCTTAGGGCAGTAGATGCTTCTGTTGAACTAGTTCTAGGCTCCCTACCTGACCTCCTGGTTCCTAAGACAGCACACACATCCCACATGAGACCTCACAGCACATTTCATGCAGCCAATAGACTCTTCTAAGACTCTATTACTCTCTCCGTCTCACATTACTATTTACCTCTGCAACACACTGAATGCTACCACTCTCCTGCCCCTTCCAGGAGACGGAGAGCCTCGTGATCATCTTACTTCAGGTAGGGAACATCCTGTGTCCCACTCAGATTTATTAGAGACTCCTATTGAGAATCCTGACCTAATATTATTTGTTGATGGATCGCATCTCAGAGCTGAAACTTGAAATTACTATAGGGAGGGGGATAAAAACACAACTCTTCCTTTACCGTCCTAGATTCTAGGGCTGGGGCCCTATAAATTAAACTGACAAAAGACAGGAGGAAAGACATATAAATTTTACTTGATATTAATATTTTTGCATGAACATGGGAATCTTCATAAGAAAAGAAGTGAAGACTCAAAGAAGCAGTTAAACTGAGAGTTTATATCCCATTTTAACAAAGAAAATTGTGCAGAAGTGACAAGACATAGTGTTCCATGGAAGGATCTTGTATACAAAGGAGCCCCCAAATGTCAAAGGAGCCAAAAAAACCAAAGAATGAGGCAGACAAATCCAGTTTGCCAATAAAATGTGTTTCATTGGGGAATTTACAGACAGAAGCATGGTCTTGGATGGCAGCAAGACAGGTATATCTATGCACTATTACTCCCTAGACCCAGGGCTTAGGGAAAGGGGGTACATGCTCTATAGAGACAATTAAAGGCAACCCTCCAGAACAGGCAAGAATGTTACATGTGTCACAACCTATAATTTGTGCAATCACATCAAGTTTGCTTTGATGTAAAGGGAGGATTTATAGTGAGTATATGTTCTTACACTAAGGACAGCAAATAAAGTAGGAATCAGGAGGCATACCTGGGATGCGGTTGATCAGAAGTCAATGTTGTGGATTAGCATTCAGGATGGAGTCACTTTTGTCTTCACACATAAGAAAAGGGTTCTCTGCTTCTAGGTAGTATGAAAACCTGACTAGGTCATGGTTTAATTGGTTCATTGGTTACAGAGCCTCCTGCAATTAACTAAAGCTTAGCTACTGTAGTTAAACTCCACATTGGTTTGATCTGTTAGGCTTAGTGCAGAAGCCCAGTCCAAATCAATGGCCTCTCATAAGTTGTATTTAATAAGACACTTAACCAGCTTTCACCCTCCATGGGATGTGAACGTGTGTTAGGTATTGTACGTCTGTT